AAACAAAATGTCGCTCCTCAGTTGCACCAGCCACGTTCCAAGTGCACAGTAGCCACATGTGGCTGGCGGCTGCAGCACTGGACCACACAGATACGGAAATTTTCATCAGCGCAGCAAATCCTTTTGTTTTAAACTAATGGTGACCTTTTAAGCAACGGTGACCAATTGAAGAGTTGTATAAAAGATGCTTGTGGATCACACATATTTTAATTTTTTTAACTGAAATTTTCTTTTAAGAGCCCTGAGCGGTAAGGACAGAGTCTATTTCTTTCCATTTGAATCATCTACTTTATTTGATTGGAAGATGGTTGTCAGTGAGAAAACTAATAATTTTTTTTAAATAAGTAAAGACAGAGATTCACTATATTGCTCAGGCTGGTCATGAACTCCTGGCCTCAGGTAATCCTCCTGACCCAGCCTCCCAAAGTGCTGGGATTACAGGTGTGAGACACCATGCCCAACCACAACTGAGAACATTTTAAGAACAAATCTGAAAGGCAGAGGAATTCTATGTGAAGGGAAGTTCTTAGGAATGATCTGAGAAATAAAAGCAAATCTGGTTTTTTTCTCCAATTTTATTTAATATGAATGTGAATACAGTCACCGGAGATCAAATCATTAAAACCTCACAAGCGGAAATGTATACTACACCAGGATCACATCGTATGGATAGTATTGAAGCCTGCAAAAGTTGGCCAGACATAAGTAGACTTGGCAGAAATAACACAAAATTCAAATCAACAATTAAAACTACACAGTGTAAACTTTATTATCGATTAAGACTTAAGAGAAAAATCAAATATTCTTATCCAGGTGTGGTAGCTCACACCTGTAAACCCAGCACTTTGGAGGCCGAGGCAGGAGGATTGCTTCGGGCCAGGAGTTCAAGACCAGCCTGACCAACATAGTGAGACCCTGTCTCCACAAAAAATTAAAATAATCACTTAAAAAAATCAAATATTCTTGAAAAAGTTTAGATTTGTAAAATATAATCTGGGGAAAATGGACATGGCAGAAATGAGAACTACAAAATAAGACACAGTGACAGACCTGCGGTTGGTAAATATTTGATAGGATCCAGAAAAACTTACAGATGAATCAAATATAATTACATAACTTACCTACAAAAGAACTAATCCAGATAAAAATAATTTCAGGAGACTAATGTCAAAATGAATACATTTGGAAAGCTGTTAAACAATTGGCTTAATGAACTTCACTCTGGAAAATACCCTCCCAATGAAAATGAATTGACTATGGTATATTTTTCTTTTAAATTGTTGTAGTAATGAACATGGAGTCAAAATGCTCTCGGGACTGTCAGATTTTCTCTAAGCAAGGCTTTGGCTGCATTCCACAAGTCTTAGTACATAGTATTTTCATTATTACTCAGATCAAAATATTTTCCAAATCCCATTGTGTTATTTCTTCTTTCACCCATGGGTTACTCCGAAGTTTATTTCCTAATTTCTAAAAATATGAGGGTTTTCTGTTTACTTTTTTTGTTACTGATTTTTAGCTTAATTACACTGTGGTCAGAGAACATCTTCTGGGTAACTTCAATCTTTTAATATTAATTGAGACTTGCTTTATGACCTGCATGTGGTCGACTGCAGTTCCACACGTACACTTGAAAAGAATATGCATTCTGCATCATTGGGTATAGTATTCTATACACGTAATGCTCAAAACTTAAACGCTCTTGTTGATTTTTTGTCTGTGTGTTTTGTCAGCCACTGAGAGGCATGTTGTTTAAAGATCCTATGATGATCGTGGATTTGTCTGTTTCTTTTTTTAATATTGTCCATCTTTGCTTTATATATTTTGAGCCCGTGTTAGTAGATGCATATAAATTTACCATTTCATTACTTCCTATCGAATCAAATCTTTGACCATTACGAGATGCCCCTCTTCATTGCTAGGGATGTTTCTCCCTTAGAGTCTTTGTCATTAAGGTAGCACCATCGGCTACACTAGCTTTCTTTTGATTTGAGTTTTCGTAGACAATCTTTTTCATACTTTTTATGTCAGTCTTTATTTTATAATGTGTATCTCATATGAACAGCACGTAGGTTTTATACAGTTTGACCATTTTGTCTTATAGTCCAAGTATATTTAACGTAATTGCTGGTATACTGGGATTTAAATTTATCTTCTTGCTCAGGGCCAGTTGTACTTCCTGTTATGTTCCTTTTTCTCTCCATTCTTGGCTTCTTTTGAGTTGATAGCTTTTTATCATTCCCTTTTTCCCTGTATTAGCTTGGAAACTTTCTCTGTTTTACTCTTCATTTAGTAATCATAAGACAAGAGCACGCATTCGTGACTTACCAAAATCTGTATTTAGTGAGTTTTTAACTCTTTTACTGTTTTAATGATTATTCTAAATTTTACAATATGCATTTTCAAGTCACCAAAATTCAATATTCATTAATAATATGTCCTTCTTGTTAACACAATGACTTAGGCATTGACACTTTAACTTCACTTTCCCCATCCAGACTCATATGCCACTGTTGTCATTTTCTAAACTTCTCTCTGTATTTCAAACTCTAAGACATTATTAGTATTTTTCTATAGTCAATATCCATATCTATATATGACTATTTTATCTTCTCCACATATTTGATCATCCATCTAGATTTTTCTTCAGCCTGAAGAACATCCATTAGTATTTTCCTTCAGCATGGCTCTGCTGGTGTCATATTCTCTCAGGAGTGTGTATGTGCATGTGTGTGCATGCATGCATGTGTGTATGTGTGTGTGCATGTGTGTATGTGTGTGTGCATGTGTGTGTGTGCATGCATGTGCATGTGTGCATGCATGTGTGTGTGCATGTGTGCATGCGCGTGCATGTGTGCATGTGTGTATGTGTGTGCGTGCATGTGTGTGTGTCAGCATGCGTATGTGTGCATGTGCGTGTGTGTGTGTGCATGTGCATGTGTCTGAAAACGTTTATGTTTATCCTTCATTCATGAAACATCTTTTGACTGGGTTTTGAATTCTGCACTACCAGTTGTTTTCTTTCAGCACATGATAGATGTGAAGACTATCATTCTACTGTCTTTTGGCGCCAATCATTTATATTTAGAAGTAAGCTATAACCTAACTATTGTACCATTGTGTCGTCTTTTAATATTCTACTTTTTTTAATGTTTATTTTCCTTTGATTTACAGCAGTTTTATTGGATGTATCTGGGTGTAAATTTGTTTTTATTTATCTTGTTGAGGTTCGTATGGGCCTCTTGAATCTTGGGCTTGGTGTTTTCCATTAGTTTTGGAGCTTGGGCTGCAAGCTACCTAGGCAGTGGGGAGCTACTGAGGCTTTTGAACAGGAAACTAATGTGATTAAATTTGGGATTAATGGTAATGGTGAAAATGATCGCCACAGTTTTTCATGGACTCAGCTTTGTGCCAAATATTTCATCTCTTTTCATCCTCACAACACCTCTGACCTAGAAATTATTATGCCCATTTAACTTTTTTAATATATTGGAGCTTTTCAAGATGCCTGTTTCACAGATGTGGGAGTCAAGGCCCAGAGTCAAGTCTCTGCCCAAAGGCACACAGTCAGTAGGTGGCAAAGCCAAGATCGGGAGAAGCCAGACCTGTCTGACTGGTTACTGTGGCACAGCCATTAGCCACGTGTGGCTATTTAGGTGAAATTAAATATGATGTAAAATTCAGTTCCTCAGTCACGTGAGCCACACTTCAAATGCTCAACAGCCAGATGTGGCCAGTGGCCACCGTATGGAATAGCACAGCATCAGGGCATTTCATCATTGCAGAGAGTTCTACCAAACGGTGCTGCCCCACCACTTGGCAACCCACTCACAGGACCAGGAAGGGTGTTCTGGAAGGAAATAAATTAGAGGCAAGGAGGCCAGGTATCACGGCCAAAGGTGCTCAGGGCCTAGCCTGAGACCATGCATATTAGTCTGTTTTCATGCTGCTGATAAAGGCACACCCAAAACTGGGAAGAGAAAGAGGTTTAATTGGACTTGCAGTTCCACATGGCTGGGGAGGCCTCAGAATCATGGCGGGAGGCGAAAGGCACTTCTTACACGACGGTGGCAAGGGAAAAATGAAGAAGAAACCAAAGGAGAAACCCTTGATAAACTCATCAATCTTGTAAGACTTACTGTCACAAGAATAGCATGGAAAAGACTGGTCCCCATGATTCAATTACCTCCCTATGGGTCCCTCCCACAACTCTGGGAAATACAGTTGAAGTCGAGATTTGGGTGGGGACACAGCCAAACCATCTCACCATGCACAGGGGAGGAGCTCAATAAATCTTTGAGAGTTGGTGCCAAGGGCCTGCTATGTGGCAGGGATATGAGGAACAGGATTGCCAGAGCTGGGGCTGGGGGCAGAGAGGGCATTTACTGAGAGGAGGAGCCCAGAGCTGAGCCCAGGACAGCCTTCTGCAGCATTTGAAAAACGTCCACCTCGACTGGGCACAGTGGCTTATGTTTGTAATCCCAGCACTTTGGGAGGCCAAGGTGGGCAGATCACAAGGTCAGGAGTTCGAGACCAGCCTGGCCAACATAGTGAAATCCCGTCTACTAAAAACACAAAAATTAGCTGGCTGTGGTGGTGGGCACCTGTAATCCCAGCTACTTGGGAGGCTGAGGCAGAAGAATCACTTGAACCCAGGAGGCAGAGGTTGCAGTGAGCCAAGATCGTGCCACTGCACTCCAGCCTGGGCAACAGAGCTAGACTCCATCTCGGGACAAAAAAAAAGAAAAACGTCCACCAAAACAGAAGCTGGTGTATTTTTGCACCTGAGAGGATGCAAGTGGGGAAACTGAGGACCACCGAGCTTAGCTGGCCTTCCCAGAAACACAGCTCGCTGGAGACTGGCTGCACCCTGCCATTCAGAAGAAAGCTCTGCAAGTTACTCTGGATGTTTTACGTGAAATCTGTGTGACCCCTCTCTGGCCCCCTAATAAACCTTGTGAGGTTGTTTCGGAACAAGATCCTCTCACCTGGGAGAGTTTGTCTCATTGCCTGGGAGTGCCTGAGCCCTGGTTCTGCAGACGCTCAAAATAATCTTCATGGTTCAGACGTGAACCGAGCAGCTGCAGGGTCCTATCATGGCCAGCAGAGGGCAGCACCGAACATGCCCAAGCTCGCCTGGAGTTGCCCATTATCCAAGCAAGCAGGATACATAGGCAAGTTTCCCCACTTTAAACGCTGCTTTTTGCAGGCTGCAGTTCTTTACTAGCCATTGCTTAGCGAGTCTCCCAGAGCTGTTTCCCTTGGTAAGTGTGCTGGAAGTGGTAACAACAAGCAGTTATGGTAATAAACCCAGCAGTAACATTTACCGAGTGCCCATGATGGGCGGCGGTTCCTTATGGTGTCAGGATGACACTGCATGGTGGCTACTCCCATCCACCTGTCCTAGGTCACAACACCTAACACACTTATAGAGCCCTTATGAAGTGCTGTCACTGTTCCAAGCTTTTTTAAATTCCCACAATAACTCTGGGAAGAGGGAACTAGTATCATCACCCCATTTGAGTCATGGAGCCATGAATGACTTTGCTGAGGTCATACAGCTTGTTAGGGACAGAGCTGGGATTGGGGCTCAAGATGCAAGACCCAGCCCTTTCCCCCAGCGAGCAGTGCCCCCTAAGCCTGCCTCCACCCCGTGCACGCCTGTGACCCCTGCCACATGGGCTACAGCTGTGCCTACCCCTCTGGGACCCCCCACGGCCATTAGACGTCCTAGAGGAATTTCCCGAGAGCGCATTATGACCACATGGGCAGCAAGCACACACTTTCATCATCATTTCAGGTTGAAGAGAAGCTTCAGGAGGATTCCAGAAGGAAACTGCTTCAGCTGCAAGAAATGGGGAACAGAGAGAGCCTCATTAAAATCAATTTGGAGAGGGCAGTAGGTCAGGTAGGCATGGTCCAAAGCCCCGTTCATTGGCCCGCACTCCCCAGTGGTTGCACCCAAGCAGCCGGCAGGGGTGAGAGAGGAGGATGCCCAACGTAGGAATACAGACGTGCATTCCTTCTCCCGTCTCTCTCACGGGCAGAGGCTGTCTGCGGCTCCCCGTCCCCGTGGTCATCGCTAAAGAGGCTTCCGCTACTGGGAGGCCTCCCACTCAAATAGTTTGCGATGACCTGAGCCCCAGATCAGGTAGCCCATCCCGGCTCCCTGCCTGCCCCCAGTTAACTGAGTCCCTTACTCTCAGTGGTGTTTCTAGCATCTTCTCCCTAACGATCTTAGTCCTGACATTTACCACAGATTTCCTTCCCCTCGGGCCCCAGCAGACACTGCACTCCGTGTCTATAAGGAAATGCCACTTTCTTAATAAACTAAAACCCCAGAGTGTCCACAGTGGGTACTGGATGGAGAAGCTCCCAGCTGCGCGTGAGCCGCTATGACCTGGTCTTTAGGTGCCGTTTCTCTGATGCTGTGGCCTGAGGTCACTGGTGGCCCTTCCTGGCATATGTGGCACTGTCGTGAGGGCCAGAATGTGCAGGCGAGACTCTACCAAAGGCTAAGGGAGAGCAAACAGGGAACCAAGATGGGAGGGCAAGACCTTCGGGAATGTGGCCCCCAGGGCAGCCACCCTAGAGTCCTCCATGAGGGTCCCTCTCCTGGAAACCACGGCTCTGGGGGATTCACAGAATGGTTTGGGCAAATGTGTGTGTGTGTGTGTGTGTGTGTGTGTGTGTGCACGCGCGCGCGCGTGTGTGCACTTTTTTATTACTGGGAGGGAGGGCTGTGTGTGTGTATGTGCATGAGCATGTGTGTGCTTTTTTATCACTGGAAGGGAGGGCCGAGTGTGTGTGTGTGTGTGTGTGCGTGCACGCACGTGTGTACACCTTTTTATTACTGGGAGGGAGGGCCATGTGTGTGTGCGTGTGTGTGTGCGTGCACTTTATTACTGGGAGGGAGGACTGTGTATGTGCTTTTTTATTATTGTGAGGGAGGGCCTTGTGTGTGTGTGTGCGTGCGTGCGCGCCTGTGTGTGCTTTTTTATCACTGGGAGGGAAGGCCTCCCACTGGATTCTCAGGCAGGTCTGTGAACTACCAAAAAAGGTTAAAAGCCAGGATCCCTCCACAGCACCCAGCTCAGCTCCCAGAGCAGTTCCATTTTCTACCATCCAAGCTTTACCAGGTGGTGTGACCAGGTCTTTGTCCCTGCACACTAAAATTCAGATATTCACCACTGTCACCCCCAGCACCATTTCTCCTGCGGTTGCCAGCCCCTTATCAAGGGCGGAGAGCCTGCCCATCTGGGCCTCTCCCTGTGCACCTTGGCCACTCCCGCCCTCCCCGCAACACATACCTGATTTCAGGGCCTGACCTGTGCTCTTTGCCCAAGGGCCAAGGTTCTTGTTCCAGCTCTGGGCAAAGGTCATCTGGGAGGAGCCTTGGAGGTACTAAAACTGCTCCAGGTGTACACCCAAGAGAGAAAGGACCAGCCCCATCTCTGCCTCCCAGGCCCTTCCACTCCTGCATCTCCAAGGCCCTTCCACTCCTGCATCTCCAAGTCCCTGCTCCCTAACAGACTGCCCTTCCCCAGGCAAGTGACGCCAGGCCCAAGGCCACGTCTAAGATGATCTCTCCCTCCTAATGGCCCTGGGCAGCCATTCCTATGGTGAGCCCCTGGTGGCAATGGGGAGCCAGCATTCACAGGACCTCCTCTACACAACCAAGTCTTTGGGTGAGCTGGGACCCTCCCCTTGGCCATGAAGCCAGAAGATGGCTTTGAGAACCTCATGTCACCTGGTCTTCTCCTGGCAGGGTCACTGCAGAGATGTCCCTAAGACATTCGCCATTAGGACTCCCCCGTGCGGTAAATACCTGTGTCTTGGGCCCCGTTGACTTTTAGGTTGATGCAGTAGCCCTTTCGGTCCCTTCAAGGCTCTGCTTTGGAGCCTTTGATAACCACATTTTGCCAGTGAACCGGAGACTCACACCAGGGGCTGCCGTGTTGATAAACTCCCAGAGAAAGTCGGGCTCCTTTTTACCTTTTAACTTCTGACGAAATCAGGACACTCTGGACTTGGGATTCTATAAGCCCAGACTTAATGTCACTTCTATTTCATCAGCCTTAACCTGAAAACACTAGCACCCAGGAGGGGCCAGTGAAAGCCGCCTGAAGTCGAGGCCCTTGGCTTTAGCCGATGTTTCTGTGTCCAGGCATTTAATGAAGGCTTGTTGGGTGTTTGGGTGTCTCCTCTACACCAGGCACTGTCGTGGGCTCTGGGGAGACCAAGGTGAACATGATGGGCATAGTCTTCAGGATGATATGGGCTCAGGTGTGAAATGGAGAAAGAGAGAACTTTCTCCCCTCCCTGGGCTTCCTTGCTGACTACACAATTTACTTGGGCTGACAGCCTCCATATTTATTTCACAGTCTGGTGCCAACTGAGCAATTACCAAAGAGCGCTCCCGGCCCCAGACTTCCCATCGGATAATTGGCAGCAAGAGGCTCTTCTGAAGGTTTGAGACATGTGTGTGCACTGACCACAGGCATCGGTCGGGTTAGGCAGGCGTGCCTAAAGAGTAATTAAAGCCTGCTGTTCTCTTTTCTTCTGTGGGTACCGCGACTCCCGGCGAGCAGCGAAGATTCTGATGACGCAGAACGATCATTCAGGCGTGCAAACCCTTCCAAGCGGTGTTTCCGCACGCTGCCGTGGAAACGCTGCCCCCACTGGCCGGCCTCCGCCGGCCCCCTGACCCTTTGCCCCTCTTTCTGCTGCAGCTAGAGCACTTCAGAAGTCAAGTCATCAAGGCCACCTACGGACGGGCAAAGCCATTCCCAGACAAGCCTGTCACCGACCAACAGGTTAGTCCGCCGCCCTTGCCGCGTGACGCCTTCATTTTCGTCGTCTTCGGGGATCTGGATTCCAGACCCTGGGAGCATATGTTTCTGTTTTTTGTTGGTGGCATATTTTTCACACTGTTGCTACACCATAAAGATTTGTTTTGATTTTATGGGATTTCCTGGCTTTAAAAGTAAAAGCCAGTTAAAACTCCCTTGAAATGTGTCTGTGAAAATCAAATTAAACCATGCGGGCTTACTTCTGCTCTCCAGACACACATGTACAGACTTCATTAGCACTGGGAGAAAGGAAGCCGCCTCCCCGCAGCCAGGGTGTTCTGGCGCATTCCTTCAGAGGAGAAAGGCTGACTGTCAGTGAGGGTGGACGTCTGGCTGTAATGATTGCCTTGCTGTTCTTCCGTCACTCCTTCTAGCCCCCTGTGTCACAGCACAGGTGGGAAAGCGTGTGTGGACTGCTCTCAGCGGGTGTGGGAGAATCTGACCTTCTGCTTACAAGCCTAGAATATCAGGCTCAGTGTTCTGAATCCCTATGCAACACAGAAGACTCTGGAGCAAAGTCAGGGCCACAGTACGGGCCTTTGGATCTTAAAAAGAATCTCTGGGCCGGGCGCAGTGGCTCACGCCTATAATCTCAACACTTTGGGAATCCGAGGCAGCCGGATCACGAGGTCAGGAGATCAAGACCATCCTGGCCAACATGGTGAAACCCCATCTCTACTAAAAATACAAAAATTAGCTGGGCGTGGTGGTGTTTGCCTGTAATCCCAGCTACTAGGGAGGCTGAGTCAGGAGGATCACTTGAACCAGGAATTCGGAGGTTGCAGTGAGCCGAGAATGCGCCACTGCACTCCAGCCTGGACGACAGAGCGAGACTCCATCTCAAAAAACAAAAAAGAATCTCTGATCCTGGGACTCATGCCGTGGTGACAGGACCAGCATCCCCCTTCAGAGCCAGAGCCATCACTAAAACGTATCAGGAGCTCCGTCCTCCCCTACTGAGACAGGGACTTAGATTGAATCTCTCCCATTCCCTTTCCCCCAGGGCCCCCCGCCCCTGTATATTACATCTTTTTTTTTTTTCTTTTTCTCATTAGCTAATAGAGAAAATCACCCAGATCACTGAGGACAACATCAGTTTTCAGCAGAAAAAGTGGACCGTGCAGAAGGAGACCCAGCTCAGCAACTCCAAGCGGGAGGAGACCACAGAGAACATTGAGAAGTTGAGGACGTCGCTGGAGAGCTGCCAGGTGGCCCCTCCTCACGCTTCCCACGAATGGTCCCTTTGTCTAAATTTTGTGCTGCTTATTTGGGAAATTGCCCAGCTTTTTTGGAGCAAGTTGGGCAGAAATGCTTGGCTTTTCTATCCACCTTTTCCTCTTGTTGGTGAAACTTGCTGGAGAAGAAAAAACAAAGGGCCTCAAAAATGCCTCCCAGGCGAGCGTGGTGTGTCCAAAAAGAGATGGAGTTTTGCTCTTGTTGCCCAGGCTGGAGTACAATGGCATGATCTCAGCTCATGCCTCGGCCTTCTGGGTTCAAGCCATTCTCCTGCCTCAGCCCCCTGAGTAGCTGGGATTGCAGGCGAACACCACCACGCCCAGCTAATTTTGTATGTTTTAGTAGAGACAGGGTTTCTCCATTTTGGTCAAGCTGGTCTTGAACTCCTAACCTCAGGTGATCTGCCCACCTCGGCCTCCCAAAGTGCTGGGATGACAGGCGTGAGCCACCGCACCTGGCCCATTCCTGCTTTTTATTTGCATTTTCTTTTTTGGCCCAGCCACAAAGGGTATTTTGCACACCCTTGCCTTTGACTCTGGAGGAGCAGGGGTCGGAGGACTTGGCCACAGCCCCGCGGCCCCCACGCTGGGACATGGTTTATCCGAGCAGGCAGTGGCTTCTGCTCTCTCTAGAAATCAGCAGCTCCCGTCTAGGGAGTTTGTGCAAATGCTGGCTTGTCAGCACTCTTTCAAATCAGGAAACCACGCTTTCCGACCAGCCTGTGTGTTGATCTTGGCAGGAATTCTGATGAAGGGAAAAAAGAAGTAGCCACATTTGCCTCCCATTGCAGCCAAACTGTCGATGGCACTTCGGCTTTGGGTTTCATATACCTAAAAGGGGGCTCACGTTGACCATCAAAAGTCTAAATTAGAGTGCAAAAAAAAAAAAAGAGCTGTCAAAAAATAATTTTTTTTTTTTTTTTTTGAGAGGGAGTCTTGCTCTGTCTCCCAGGCTAGAGTGCAGTGGCGCAATCTCAGCTCACTGCAACCTTGGCCTCCCAAGTTTAAACAATTCTCTGCCTCAGCCTCCCGAGTAGCTGGGATTACAGGCACCCGCCACCAGGTCTGGCTACGTTTTGTATTTTTAGTACAGACATTGTATTTTTAGTACAGACAGGGTTTCACCATCTTGGCCAGGCTAGTCTTGAACTCCCGACCTCTTGATCCACCCGCCTCAGCCTCCCAAAGTGCTGGGATTACAGACCAGAGCCACCGAGCCCGGCCAAAAATTTTTAAAAAGAAAAAACTGAGCCCTCCGAGGGTGGCCGGCATGTGGCGCTGCCTGCTTCGAGTCCAGAACGCTGTTTCTCCAAGGTGGCGTTGGGCTATTTCTGGCCACAGGGCTTGGGCTCCCCATGATCTCATCTCTCTGCAGGCTTGCATGACGTCCTGCTGTGGCAGTGACCTGAAGAAGGAGGTCGACCTTCTTCAGCACCTCCAGGTGAGCCCACCTGTCTCAGGGCTCCAGAAGGCGGTTCTCGACATCCTGAGGCACGCGCTGTCCTGGCTGGAGAAGACGGAGCAGCTCCTCCGGGACCTGCGGATCCCGCCCTCCAGCACCGACAAAGGTTACTGGGACTTTTTTCTCACATAGTTGCATGACTCTAAAATGTCGCATTGAAGCTCAGCATGATGGGACATCTGTTGAGGAAGTCTTCATGGGTGTCTGGCCAAGTCCGTTCCCTTCTCCAGACTCCCCTGCTTCTCTGCTTGAGACGTAATAATCCATTAAAAAAAAAATACACAAGTGAGACACGATAACTGAAGGAAAATGAAACAGAACAGAGGCAAAGGGAAAATGAAAGCAAAACTATGCAAAGCCTAATTACACTGTTTAACTTTCAAGGCATTTTCTTGTGGAAATAGCCACGTGATTCTAGGCAAGTCACTTACCCTGTCTATGCCTCAGTTTCTGAATCTGTAAAATGGGGCTAATAGGGAGTACCCATCTTTAGGGCTGTTGTGATTTTTTTTTGTTTTTGAGACGGAGTCCCACTCTGTCGCCCAGGCTGGAGTACAATGGCGTGATCTCGGCTCACTGCAACCTCTGCCTCCCGGGTTCAAGTGATTCTCCTGCCTCTGCCTCCTGAGTAGCTGGGATTACAGGCATGTAGCACCACACCTGGCTAATTTTTGTATTTTTAGTAGAGACAGGGTTTCACCATGTTGGTCAGGCTGGTCTCAAACTCCTGACCTTAAGTGATCCACCCACCTCAGCCTCCCAAAGTGCTGGGATTACAGGTGTGAGCCACCGCACCAGCCTAGGGCTGTTGTGATTGTTAAGATGCTTGATGTATGAAAAGTACTTGGACTAGTACCTGGCACACAATAGGCATTACTAAACGTTTGTTGACTTTCAATTTTACAAAAAATAGTGTCACACTACCTCCAATTTCCTTTGCTCTGTTCCTAATGGTACATCATCAGGAAGCCCCTCCATGTCAGCACACACAGACCTACATCATCACGGTTGCTGATTCCATTGTGTGGGATGCACCATTATTTATTTAGACAATCCCCTATCATGGGCACTTAGGTGATTTCCAGTTTTTCACACTCATAAATCAGGCTGAGATGAACATTGTTGCGCATATACCTGCTCATCTTATTTTCCTAGAGGTGGAGGGGCATGGACCACTTTCTTTCAACAGAGATTTATTGCATGCTTGCTTCCAAGACACCAGGTGCTATGCAGAGCAGAGACATAATAGGATCAGGAACCGGTAGAATCAGGTCGTGTGTGTGTGGTTCACTGCAAAATTCTTCCACTATGATCGTACATTTGAAATTTTTTATAATAAAATACTGGGGTCGTGGGAAACAGGCACTGCCCCTGTCCTCAAAGAACTTATGGTCTCGGGGGAGGGATGCAGTGGGCATTAATGGGAAATCACTCACACAAACATGAAAGCTCAGTGGTGACAATTGCTGTGAAGTGCAGGGTTCGATCTGGTCAGGGAGGGCAGGGCAGCTGCAAGATGCATAGGAGTTGTTTGCCAAAGAAGGGAGAGAGAGAATTCTGAGCAGCAGGAGCAGCGTGGTGGCAGGGGGTGCATGGAGAGCACACGGGGCCAACAGAAATGGGGCAGGGCGGGGCAGGCTGGCGAGGGGGCTTCCCAGGGCCGTCATGGGGGGTCTCGCAGGGCCCTAGTAAGAAGCTTTTTATTCTAAGGTCAGAGAGAAGCCCATGAAAGCCTTAAGTGAGGAGCTAGACAAGCCTGCATTCTGAGACAATCACCCTGGTGGCACGTGGACGTCCTGGAGGGTGGTCAGCGTGGTGCCTCAGGAGCCACTTGGGAGGCTGCTGTAAGAGCTGACAAGGCCACCCGAGGGCAGGGTGGGGATGGGGAAAGAGCGAAGATTCAGGGGCGGGTAAGAGGTAAATCGGCAGGCCTCAGTGGTAGGACTGGAGACAGTTGGAAGCAAAGACGGAGAATAGTCAGCAGGACCTCTAGGTTTTCGGTGTGTGTAAAAGATGGATGTGATTTCTTCACTAAAATTCAGAGCAAGGAATGCAGGATGAGGCCCAGGTTTGAGAGGGAAGACGAGTGTGAAGTACCTGTGAGATGTCTGAGTTGAGATGCCCAAGAGACCGCTGTTTCCCCAGATGTCTTGTTTGGGGATAGATCATAATGATGTATCCCCAGCACCCGGAGAGCATGTGCCGCACAGCAGGGGCCTAATAAGTATCTGTAGGATGAAGGGATGGAGGAATGGATGGAAGGAAGTATAGATGGATGGACAGGCTGACAGATGGATGGATGGAAGGGTTAGGTGAGTGGATGGATGGATGGATGGATGGATGGATGGATGGATGGATGGATGGATGGGAGGAAGGGTGGGTATGGATAGAAGGGTGGTTGGGTCGGTGGGTGGATGAATAGATGGATAGAATGCAGAAAGGAAGGAAGGAGGGAAGATAGGAAGAAAGATTAAAGCCATACCGTGTAAGGTATCACTTAGGAAGATTATTTGTTCTTCAGTCTTGAAGAATAGCTAGAACTCTGCTCCATGTTTTGCCTGATTTCATGTAAGCTCATGACCTACATGAAATTAACGAGGGAGAAGGGAAAGAGCACAGGGCCGCACCTTAAAGCACTCCAGCATTCGGAAGCTTGCTGCTACTCCTTGCCAAATCACCCTCCAGAGAGCCTGCATCAATGTTATATTCTTGCAGCAATGGATAAGAATAGAGGAGTGATTTTCAACTCTGGTGCTTCACCATCCCCAGCAGGATGCTTCCAAAGTATCCAGAAGGTGGGGTAACATTCTTAAAAAGCAAAGGCAAAGCCAACATTAATTTTTATGCAGATGCCTTCCCCTCATCATATAGCAGAGGGCGTTACTGTTCTTGCAATCATGGCAGAGTCATGAGCTTACTTAAAATGAGGTAAAACGTGGAGCAGATTCTGGTTGTTCTTCAAGACTGGAACTAAAACAAAGACCCGCATCTCCATCCTGGTAATAACAGAGCCAAGCTACGTGTGCACTGTCCCCTTCCCACTCCCAAGGCCATTTTAGTCATCTAGACTAAGTCTATAAAGCTAGCCATATATTACTGTTAAGAAATGTGGGTTGTTGCCAGGTGTAGTGGCTCATGCCTGTGATCCCAGCAACTCGGGAGGCTGAGGCAGGAGGATCGTTTAAGGCTAGAAGTTCAAGACCAACCTGGGCAACAAAGTGAAACCCCTCATCTCCAAAAAATAAAAAAATAATAATAAATTAGCCAGGCATGGTGGCAGAGGCCTGTAGTCCCAGCTACTCACGAGGCTGAGCTGGGAGGATTCCTTGAGGCTAAGATTTCGAGGCTTCAGTGAGCTGTGATTGTGCCACTGCACTGCAGCCTGTGTCACAGAGTGAGACCACGTCTAAAAACAAATAAGTAAATGCGGATTATAAAGTTAAGCTTTCAGGCCCAGTAATTCCAGAAAGGCTAAGAAAGACTAATTTTAGGCAGCATTCCTCAGACCACCATTTTCTTCTCCTGACTTCATGGAGTCGTAAGATTTGAGCAACATTAAGCAGGTCTCTGCAGAATGCCCCCCTTGTTAACACGCATGCTGGGTCCACAAGAGGGGGATGAAGAAAGCAGTATTTCCAAACTACTGGACTCCTTCTTGATGCCCTTATGGCCAACTAACCTCTTGGAATAATGTTCTGGAACCCTCGCTGGGGAAATGGTGGTCTGCTGACTACATATTCTGTGATTACAACTAGCTGGTTCTGAGAAGTCAAGAAAAAAAGAACGGAGAATTACAGAAAGGTTTGTAAGTAGGACCCACCTTTCGTCCACTCAGCAGAAGAGGAAACTGATGGGAAAAGACATTTTCTCTTCCAATATAAGCAGTATTACAGCGAGTGCCCAAAAGACTGGGAAAAAAAAGAGTGATCCAGAGTATGCCCTATAGTCTCTACCCTTGTACCTAATTTCTAACCCAGAGCTAGTCCAGGAGGAGGAGGGAAAGAGGAAGAGGAGGAAGAGGAAGGATGGGGAGGAGGAGGGAAGAGGAGGAGGAAGGAGGGTGATGATGGTGGTGGTGATGGTGATCATGGGGGCGATGATAGTCATTCACTACTGAGCACTTGTATTCTAGAGACTGTTCTCAGCATATTATATGCATGATCTCATTTCATCCTCACAATTCTGTGAGTTAATAATTTGCCCATTATCCTCATTTTAGAAATGAGGAAACTAGCTTAAAGCTGGTTTTGTGATTGCTCCACTAGGATAAGGTGATTGGAGGCACTTCACATTACAGAGGCTGACAGGGAGTCCCCAGTCTATTCACCGCCGTCCCACACACTCCCAGGAGCCGCCTGCATTCGCAGCCCCTAAGAGAAGGGTAGAAAGCATGGGTTGTTCAGCTCCTCCTGGGACTTAGCCCTGAGTTAGGTGTTTCACATGCACTGTGTGCCTTTATCCGCCCACTGATCTTACAATGAGGCAGGTAAGATTATTGTCTTTATTTTATTTATCTTTTTTTTTTTTTTAAGATGGAGTCTCACTCTGTCACCACCCAGGCTGGAGTGCAGTGGCACAATCTCGGCTCACTGCAACCTCCACCTCCTGGGTTCAAGCACTTCTGCCTCAGCCTCCCAAGTAGCTGGGATTACAGGCATGTGCCACCACGCCTGGCTTTTTTTTTTTTTTTTTTTTTTTTTTTTTTTTTTTTTTTTGGTATTTTTAGTAGAGACAGGGTTTTGTCACATTGGCCAGGCTGGTCTCGAATTCTTGACCTTGTGATCCACCTGCCTCGGCCTCCCAAAGTGATAGGATTACAGGTGTGAGCCACTGCACCCGACCCGATCTTTCTTTTTAAGTAAAAGTCTTGCTCTTTTGTCCAGGCTGGAGTGCAGTGGTGTGATTTCAGCTCATTGACACTTCCACCTTCCGGGCTCAAGTGATCCTCCCACCTCAGCCTCCCAAGTAGCTGGGACTAACAGGCATGTGCCACCACACGACCTAACTTTTGTATTTTCTACAGACATGGGGTTTTGCCATGTTGCCCTGGCTCAAATTCCTGGGCTCAAGCAACCCACTCAACTCCCAAAGTGCTGGGATTACAAGTGTGAGCCACTGCGCCCAGCCTTCATTTTAAAAGTAAAGAAACGGAGACACAGTAACGTTAAAAAGCTGTCCAGGGTCACACAGCTGGTACATTAGGGCTAGGACTCAGACTGAGATATTTGTGATCCTAACACCTGTGTTTTCCCCATGACCCTGACCTTTCACCACCCCCCCTCACCACCCCCCCACACACACACACTTCCTTCGAAGATGCAGCAGGGTACCAGGCACATGCCCAATCCCTAGAGGATGGGTGCTGTCCCTGGCTCGGGCAGAGACAGAGCTAAGAGTTCTCTTTCCCTAAGGTAAGAGATCTGCATCTGATTCCTGCCCTGAGCCATAACCACGGAAAGGCCCATCTGTATCACAGTAATGTTGGTCCCAAGCTGAGACTCTGGGGACCCACTGCCAAGGCTTGAATTTCAGTTGTGCACCTACTAGCTGTGTGGGCAGTTACGTGACGTGGCTGTCTCCATTTACTTGCTCGTGAAATGGCCATCCAGTCTCCTAGGGTCATGTGAGGACTAATAACAGGATACATGCATGGCAGTGCCGGTCACACGCAGCTCGTAATTGCTGGTGGCTGCTGTCATTGTCAGCCTCAAATACTTGTTGACTTAATCTGACCTAAACATGGGTAGCCACCAGCCAGGTTGCACGCGGGCAGCACAGCCTGGTTTATTTGCACCCAGGTGACATCCTCTGGAGCCCCTCCTCTGTCTCTATTTAGCAGCAAATGGGGTTTCCTTAGCCCTGAGCCCTCCACTGGGTTAAAGCCAAGAGCCGTTTCTAGCGGCCTCCTCCTTAGAGTCGTTGACAGTGAGGCTCACATCCCGGCTGCCAAGTGCCCAAGTGGCAACTCAGTCCACGTCCCTCCAACCTCAAACCCCCTGCTCTTGACAACCGGGCTACCTGCCCCTTAGAACATCCTCCTAAGAGATAAAACATGCGGAACATGCCGGGTGTGGTGGCTCGCGCCTGTAATCCCAGCACTTTGGGAGGCCAAGGCGGGCAGATCACCTGAGGTAGGGAGTTCGAGACCAGCCTGACCAACATGGAGAAACCCCGTCTCTACCAAAAATACAAAATTAGCCAGGTGTGGTGGCAGGCGCCTGTAATCCCATCTACTTGGGAGGATGAGGCAGGAGAATCGCTTGAACCTGGGAGGGAGAGATTGCAGTGAACCAAGATTGTGCCATTGCACTCCAGCCTGGGCAGCAAGAGTAAAACTCTGTCCCCGCACCCCACCCCACCCCCTGAAAAAACCACACATAACAAGCTAGGACATAAGTCCTGATACGAATCTCCCCAGGGGAATCCAGGTGGGGTAAGCATCAGGGAAATGACTAGCGCTGTTGTTTGGTGATGTCATGTGCAGCCCACAAGGTGAGCCTCGGGTCCAGTGTGTGGGATGGGTGGAGGATTTGCTGTGTGGTTCAGCTGGGAGTATAAAAATGTTTAAGCGGCACCCTGAAAGTCAGCTGAATCCTCCTCCTGCCTGGTTTCCCAGGGTTCGTTGGATCATGGAAAGAAAGGACTTTTTACATTTTTCTCTGCAAGCTCAGTTATTTGTGTCTATTTCTGCAAGGCTTTGTTACAAATAAGAGACTTCCCCCCCACCCGCCATGCCTGACAAATCACTCAAATATCCAACATACACTGTGTCTTTCAATGAAAAGAAAGCAAGTTGCAATGCAATATGCTCCATGCGCTTTTATTTTTTAAAATGTCAGCATCTGACCGAAAGAACAACCTGGAGGAAAAGATTTCAAACTGTTAAGGGTATTATCCCCGGCCAGGCGCGGTGGCTCACACCTGTAATCCCAGCACTTCGGGAGGCCAAGGCAGGTGGATCACGAAGTGAAGAGATCAAGACCATCCTGGCCAACATGGTGAAACCCCATCTCTACTAAAAATACAAAATTAGCTGGGCGTGACAGCACTTGCCCGTAGTCCCAACTATTCAGGAGGCTGAGGCAGGAGAATCGATTGAACCCAGGAGGTGAGGCTGCAGTGAGCTGTGATCACGCCACTGCACTCCAGCCTGGTGACAGGGTGAGATTCCATCTCAGTAAAAAAAGAGTATTATCCCAGCGGGGTGGGACTGCACTGGACCTTGTCTTTCGTTCCGTTGTTCCACAGGTGTTCATTCACTGAGGGCTACTGTGTGCCAGCCACCCTGCAGAACACGAAGACGCAGCAGCAAACACTTCCCACATTGGGAAGTTTTGTAGCATTTGGGTTTTTGTAACCAACATATGTAACTTTTGTGTCTCTGAGCTGCCCAACACTTCATTCTCTTTTTTGAAACCCTCTGCCCCTCAGCTCTCCAGGCCCTGGGCACCCTGCATCTCTCCTGATCTTTCCCATTCATTCTCAGCAGGTCCCTTCACCGACTTCTGTCCCTAACGAGGGTGTTTTCTTCTCTGCAGTCAGCTCTTGGTCCACCCCATCTCCTTTCTCACGAAGAAACTCTCCACTCCCATGCCTCCCCAGCCACTCCTGTGTGTCATCCACACAGACGCCTCTGCAGACGGGGCTGCCAGGAATGTGGTGCAGGGGGTCCAGCCAAGGCAGCGGGGGGTCCCTGGCCAGGAGCCATGGCCCCAGGAGGAAAGGGGACTCTTTCTCAGTTCACACAAGGACCCTGGATGGGCTGGGCTGGGCCAGCCTTGCCAATCAGGGTGTCCATCTCTCTGCTGACCATCTCTCCCTGGAGTCCTGCCAGTGCCTCCAATTCACCATGTCTGAAACAGCCAGGGGGCTCCTTCTCTCTCCCTGCCACACCCCACCCTCACCCCAACCTGTCTGTCTCTGGTCTGATGGCGAGACCACCATTCTACCCCTTAAAAAGGGTTTCTTTCCCTTTCTTCCCTCTCATTCCTGCTTCTCCCACCCTCAGTTAGGGGATTAGTACTGAATACCCTGACGTCCCCCAGGCTCTTAGCAGAGCTCCCTGTCTCTCACTCAGAGGAGGGGAGCTTGTCACAGGGAACATCCAGGACGGTCTGGTGACATTTTTGGTTGTCACAACCGGGGTGGGGTGATGGGGGGGTGCCCCTGGCATCCGGCAGGTAGAGACCAGGGATGCTACTAACCATCCCCCAATGCCTAAGACAGTATCAGCAGCACAATACCAGCAATGCGGCCCGACATAGCAGCAGTGCTGCAGCGAACAAACCCTGCCAGCTCCAGCCTCCCCAATGCAGCCCAGCTATTTTTCTGAAAAAAAAAAAAAAAAAAAAAAAAAAAAAAAAAAAGCTCTTCATCAGGCCCCTTCACTGTTCTGTCAGCTGCTGCAATAGGAGTGACTCAGACCCTGCGTCACACGGATTAGAGCCAAGTCCTGGCTCAGCCACTGGCCTGCTGTGTGGCATTGAGTTGGCCCGCGTCTCAGAACGCCACTGCCTCATCGATAAAATGGGGACCCACTGGGCACATTTCAATCATGTTTAAATCAAGTTTCCACCCTCAAGGTGCTGGTTTCAGGCCTGTCATAGCTGGACCTCGCCCTTCCACGCCTCCTCTACCCTCTGCTCCTCCCTCTCCCATCATCTACTCCAGCCCAAGTAAGCTCAGCACTTACCCGGAAGAGCACTGCCTTTTCCCAGTCCCGCCCCATCCACCCCGCATCCCCGCATGAAGCTGTGGCTTCCTGTGACTGTTGTAACAAATGACCGGCCCTGAGACTCTAGGGCAGCATGCATTTCCTGGCCTTCCTCAGCCTCTAAAGTTTCATTCCTTGCATTCCTTAGCTTGTGGCCCCTTCCTCCATCTTCAAAGCCAGTGATGTGGCATCTTCCAGTCTCTCTCTGCTTCCATCATGTCACCTGCCCCTCTGGCTGTGGTCAAGCCTCCCTCTGTCTCCTTCTTATAAAAAGCCATGTGATTACATTGGGCCACCCAGATCATCCAGGATAATACCCATCTCGAAATCCTGAACTTTATCATATTTGCCAAGTTCTTTTGCCCTGTACGGTCACACCCACAGGTTCCAGGGATTCTGACCTGGAATTGTAGGGGGTCATCATTCAGCCCCACACACCCCTATTCTGAAGCACCCTCCTCTGGCTCACTGAATTCTGCCCACCCCTCAACACCCACACCTAGTGGTTCTTCAACCAAGTGGCCTTACTTGCTCACTGCAGATGAATGATCCCTCCCTCCTCTGAGACCCTCACCCTCCCCCCTCCTTCATCAGTCACTCACATGCCACCTAGGGTCACCGCATGCTTCCAGCAAGCATTTACATCTGTCTGACTAAACTGGCAGCCCCTGGATGTCTTGGCTTTAGACGATTCCCCTCACTCAGCACCATGGTTCGCACACAGTAGACAGTAAATAGGTGTTCTGTTGATGGGTTTTTATTTTCCACCTCCAAAAAGAAAGTTGGATGTGAGCTCAAACAAGGCTTATTAGCTATTTTTTTTTTTTTTTGAGACTGTCTCACTCTGTCACCCACGCTGGAGTACAGTGGCACAATCTGGGCTCACTGCAACCTCTGCCTCCCGGGTGCAAGCAATTATCGTGCGTTAGCCTCCCAAGTAGCTTGGATTACAAGCATGCACCACCACATCCGGCTAATTTTTCTATTTTTAGTGGAGACAGGGTTTTATCATGTTGGCCTGGCTGGTCTTGAGCTCCTAACTTCAGGTGATCTGCCCATCTCAGCCTCCCAAAATTCCAGGGTTACAGGCGTGAGCCACCATGCCCTGCCTAAGTCACCGTGCTCAGCTGCTTACCCACTACCTTAAAATCACAGGTTGGATAGTAGTTCATGTTGCTTTGATGGGATGGCAGTGTTGCCTTCATCCACCTGTCTGCAAGCTTTGGAGTTGAATTGAATTGATACTTACATTCTTCCTGCTTCCCTTTTTTTCAAGGGTTCTCTTTGTACCTGATATATCTTCTGGAACATTATAAAAAACTTACAAGCCAGATCCAGGAACTTCAGGTAATTCTTTTAATTTCTTTTTTTCCGAAGTTTATTTCGGCCCCTGCTTGGCATTTATATAGCACTGCGCATTTGAAACCTGTTTTTTCTTTATCCGCTAGTCACTCCACACCCTCCAGTAGGTGAAAATGATTTCTCCATTTGCACACAAAGAGGCACAGAAAAGGTTGGCCAAGATCTCCCAGGAGGGTAAGGACTATGGCAGGGTCTGCCCTCGGTCTGGCCTCCTGGGCTAACCACACTGTGTGTTTTCCTCTGTCAAAGGCTTAGAAGACGTATTGCCATCAGATCTTTTATTCTGAGTCTCGTTCTGTCGCCCAGGCTGGAGTGCAGTGGCATGATCTCGGCTCACTGCAACCTCTGCCTCCCGGGTTCAAGTGATTCTCCTGCCTCAGCCTCTCAAGTAGCTGAGATTACAGGCACCTGCCACCACGCCTGGCTAATTTTTGCATTTTTAGTAGAGACAGGGTTTCACCTTGGTGACCAGGCTGGTCTCAAACTCCTGACCTCAAGTGATCCACCCACCTCGGCCTCCCAGAGTGCTGGAATTATAGGCATGAGCCACTGCACCCGGCCTTAATGCTATCAGATTTTGAAAACTGTGTTTGTTAAATGCAGTGGACAAAGTACAGCTATCTACAGTACAAGCAGCAGAATTACCAAAAGAAAAGAAATATTCTAGAGGCAAATGAGCTTTAGGGGTTATGTCATTCTGACAGCTATTGCCATAACAGTGTTATGTAATAAACACCCTCAAAACTTCAGTGGCATTCAGCAATTGCTATTTACTGCTCATGTGTCTGGGGTCAGCAGCAAGGTGGCTCTGCTGACCTTGTCTGGGTGTTGGCTGGCCTTTGGTTGATCTAGGCTGGCCTCAGCTGGAGTGACTAAGCTCCATGCATCTCTCATGCCCCAGCAGGCAGGCCTGGGCTGTTCTCAGGAAACTGCAGAGCTACAAGAGAAAGTGGCCCAATCACATAGTGTTTTTCAATCTTCTGGTTGCGTTATGTCTGCTGACATCCCATTGGCCAGAGCAAGTCACATGGCTGAGTTCAGTGTCTGGAGGCAAAATATGGGCAGGCACTGCAAGTTACATAACCATAGACACGGATAGAGTGGGGTGAAGTTACATAGCCATGCCAGTCAGCCACAGAGGCTTGAGTCCAGGGATTGGCAATTTTTTCTATAAAGGGCCAGCTAGTAAATAGTTTAGACTTTGCAGACCATATTCATCCCTCTTCCATTCTGCTATGGTAAAATGAAAGGAGCCATAGACAATATGTAAGTGCTGGGCACGATAAGCATGGCACTGTTCCAATAAAACTTTATTTACGGCCGGGCACGGTGGCTCATGCCTGTAATCCCAGCACTTTGGGAGGCCAAGGCGGGTGGATCACCTGAGGTCAGGAGTTTGAGACCAGCCTAGCCAACATGGTCTCTACTAAAAATACAAAACATAAATACAAAATTAGCTGGGCATGGTGGTGGGCACCTGTAATCCCAGCTACTCGGGAGACTGAGCCAAGAGAATCGCTTGAATCTATGAGGCAGAAGTTTCAGGGAGCTGCGATTGAGCCCCTGCACTCCAGCCTGGGCGACAGAGCAAAAAAACAAACAAACAACAACAAAAAACCTTATTTACAAAAGTAGGCAGTGGGCCCAATTTGACCTGTGGGCTATAGTTTGTCAACCCCTGGCCTAATCCCTTCTCATTTTTCAGATAAGGACAATTTCAGTGTCACACAGCTAATAGGTGAAGAATCAAGACAAATGTTCAAGCCTCCCGGCTCCTACATGACTGCTTTTTTTTCTCACACTCACCTACCACTTACTGAACACCTACTATGTGCTCAGCACTGTGCCAAAAGCTTTCCATCATTATCTCACTTAATCCTCACAACTCTAAAAGGTTGATAGTTATTTACTTCATTGTCTAAATAAGGAAGTGTCTAGAAACACCTAGAGCTGGGATTCTTTCTAGATTAGAGCTGGGCTGCTTTTTAGATCCAGAGTCTAAATTCTTAACCACTGCATGCTGCATTGTTCTGTGATTTTAAGAAACTTTCGGGGAACCCATTGTCCCCAAAAAGGTAAACAATTGGTAAACAGATGTGGAAAGATTCTTTAGTTAGGGCTGTCCCCCGTCAGCTGTTTGCTTTTCTCTCATTTTAGAGCAAGTTCAGTTCTCAGGAAACTCAGCAGTCTTTACTGCAAGAAAAGCTGCAGGAGCATCTGGCAGAGAAGGAGAAGCTGAACAAGGAGATGCTAGAGCAAGAGGAGAAGCTGAATGCCAAAATCAGGCAACTGATGGAAGAGAGGGCGGTAAGGCGGTCCCTGCCGTTTGCTTTACTACTGGAAACTGATAAAATGGTCTTTTCTGTGGGAAGTTGGGGGTGCGTGCTTAGACAGAGAAATCTCAGCTATTCTGTTTGGTGCTGTGGAACTAAATTAATTAAACAGAGTGAATAATTGGGAAGGATTTAACCTGAAGTTTGAATTCTAAAACGCACAGCAAAAGCAACTTGAAAAGGCAGCATGATTGAAATTTCAGGAAACCGTGCCTTGTTTGTATATGTATTGCAGCCGGCTTTATAAAACTGAGTCATCGCTGCGGGTCCTGGTTTGTAGCTGACAGACTGTTTCTAAATGTGCACAAGATCAACTTCAGATGACAAATTTCAGTCGTTTGCTTTCTCTTTATGCATGTCAGGGGAAACAAATGGCCAAAATTGCTACTGACTTTTCTAGAAACCAGGGCAGTTTGAAGACAGCAGTGACTCTCAAACCCGAGGTGCCCAGGAATTGTCTGGGATCTGGTTAAGGTGCAGATTCGCTCTCAGCAGGCCTGGGTCGCAGCCGGAGACACTACATTTCCAACAAGCTCCCAGATGATGCTGATGCTACCAGTCTGCAGATCCACATTTTCTTAGGGCGAAGTCTTAGAGGAAGGTTTTCTTAAAGTTTCCTGATAAGAACCACCCGGATGCTTTGCTAAAAATAACAAATCTTGTTCCCCACCCCCAGACCCATTAAATCAGAACATCTGGAGAGGGCCAGGAACTGCATTTAATGAGCTGATTCTCGTCACTGTCCTAGAGTTACCCCCTTTTTTTTTTCTTAAGCTGGGGTCTTGCTCTGTTGCCCAGGCTGGAGTACATTGGTGTGATCACAGTTCACTGCAACCTCAAACTCCCAGGCTGCAGTGGCCCTCCCACTTCAGCCTCCCAAGTAGCCGAGACCACAGGCATATGGCACTACACCCAACTAATTATTATTATTTTTTTTTTTTTGTAAAAGTGGGATCTTGCTACATTGCCCAGGCTGGTCTTGAACTTCTGGGCTCAAGCAATCCTCCCACTTCAGCCTCTCAAGTAGCTAGAACCATAGACACATACCAACCACCATGCCCAGCTAATATTTTTATTTTTTGTAGAAATGGGGTCTCTCTCTCTCTGTGTTGCCCAGGCTGGTCTCAAACTCCTGGCATCAAGTGATCCTCCCACCCCAGCCTCCAAAAGTTCTGGGATTACAGGCATGAGCCACTGTACCCGAGGGCCGGGCCTTTTTGTTTGCTTGCTTGCCTGCTTGTTTGTTTTTTGAGCCAGACTCTCACCCTGTCACCCAGGCTGGAGTGCAGTGGCATGATCTCAGCTCACTGCAACCTCCACCTCCTGGATTCAAGTGATTCTCCTGCCTCAGGCCTCCCAAGTAGCTGGGCCTACAGGGGTACGCCACCACGCCCAGCTAATTTTTGCATTTTTTAGTAGAGACAGGGTTTCACCATGTTGGCCAGAATAGTCTCTATCTCTTGACCTTGTGATCCGCCTGCCTCAGCCTCCCAAATGCTGGGATTACAGGCATGAGACACCGTGCCCAGCCGGGTTGGCCCTTTTTGATATTCAGGGACCCCTCCCATGAATTTTACTGTCTTTATGACTTGTCATTTAGGAGATTTAAAAATACTAATGCTTTGCACCTCCCCCCTCACTCTCCAGGTTCTGATCTAAGTGGGGTGGGGGTGTGGTCCCACTCGGGACACCTAGGTGATCTCAAAGTGCAGCCAGGGTTGCGAGCCACTGTTGTGGGTGGGCATGAAGCAGCGTGTGCGTGGTGTCCCCCCCCCGCCGCCCGCAGCTCCCTCAAGACAGCGGCCCCAGATCCACCGGACCCTGACTCTTCCAAGACATCTCCTTCCTTCCCCAGAGAAGGACTGGACCTGCCACCTTCCCCATCCTTCCCCAGCTCCTTCTCTATCACACACGCCTGCCCTCCAGACCTCTGCTGCTTTCACCTCCATCCTCAATGTGTGTCCAGTTACCCCAAGACATCGGTCTCCTCCTCCTCCCTCCTCTCTTTGCCTCTCTCTGTGCTTTTCTGCATTCGTGAAATAAAAGATTAGAAAGGAAGAGCCATCCGACCAAATCATGTACACTCCACATAAAGGTAATATTAATGATAGCTATAAATCAAGGCCAGCACATTTTGAAGACCATTTAGACATGGAAAAAGCCAGCACCGTTCATTCCATAGAGAAGAAAATAAAACCAGAAAGTACCTAGAAATCTTCAAAATCTTCACAAAACTCTCCACCGACTTCCTCCCTCCTCTCTGATTACTTTCTCCTTGCGACACCGGCATTCCAAAGGGCTTATTTCTTATTTCTCTTTTGAATTTTGGATTGACTTTTTCCATTGTCAGGGTCTGGTATTTCAGCACCCCCATGTTAAACACTGCGTTGGATGCCTGCTTGGGCTTCCTAGACACCCACGGCGACACGGCCGTGGCAGTGTTTTAAGAGCTGGCGTCAGCCCCTCTTTCAAACCTGCAAACCTCGGTGCACCCCACCCTCCTTGCAGAGGGAGGAAGCGACATCAGGCACCTGCCAGACAGACGGTGACACTCAAAGGTCACCCTTCCTCCGACACTCAGATTGATGGACTTGACCCTGGGGACTCCTAAGAAAGTTACCTCTTAGACTTCAGTGCCAAGTGTCCTGACTTTGATTGAACCTTCGTCAGACCTTCTGACTCCCATCACTCACCCTTTCTGAAAATACATGTGTCCAGACTCGTTAAGCAGGCTCCGCCTCATGAATCTTGTTTTGGCTGAGGACTTTGTTTCAATGGAAAAAGACAAAACAAAAAATTTCTAGATTCCTTTATCAATCTGGCATTCTTATTACCAATTGTTGACAGCAGTCAGTTGATTTGTGCACACACCAATGCTTTAGATCAGGGATTGCTAAAATGGTCCCATGAGGAGCCCGATAGTAAATATTTTCAGTTTTGCAGGTCAGGTGCTCGCTGCTCTTCTACGAAAGCAGCCATAGACAGTACACAGCCAGCATAGTGTTCCAATAAAACTTTATTTGCAAAAACAGACTAGATTTGGTCTGTAAGCCATAGTTTGCTAACCTCTGGTTTAGACCCCAGGCTTCAAAATCAAATGGGTCAGAGTGAGAATCTCTTGCTCATGTGATTTACTAGTAAACTGGGTGGATTCCTTAATTTAAGCCTGTTCCCCCCTCCGCAGGGTGGAAACCATGGCTGTCACTGCGCCAAGCATTTCATGTTCATCAAACCATCCACCCCCTCATATCAACCCAGCACAGGAAAACGATTACTGTCTCCATTGTCCAAGCAGAGAAACTAAGGCTCTGATAGCTTCACTTACCCAGTGCCTTACAGCTAGAAAGGATCAACCTGGGGCTCTACCCTGGGTCTCCCAATTCCGGAGCCCATGCTCTGAGCTCCTAGACTGCCCACAGCCTCCCCAGGGGAGTGCCGTGAGGCATGGAGAGGTAGGCCACGCAGTGCCTGGCAGCGTCCAAATTCCTGCCATGGTAACCTTGTCTATTCAACAATGGTCATTGGTTTCCAGGCTTTGGAGGAAGGCATTACTCAGGAGAGAAACAGAGTGAAAGAGACTTTAGAGAAAGAACTGAAGAGAAGGCAAGAGCAGGAGGACCTCCTGGCCCAGCAGAAGAAGGTACACGTCTCAGGGAGACAGTCAGCTCCAGCCCAAATCAAGGCTCTGCAGCTAGGAAGGGTGGATCTAGGGCTCTGGTCTGGGCCCAGCGGCCCCTGCTCTGAGCTCCCAGGCGGTGCGGCCCACAGTCCTCCCAGGGAGGTGCAGTCAGGAGGGAAGAGGTTACCTATTTGGCGCCTGGCAGAGCCCAGATTCCTGCCATGGTAACCATGTCTGTTAAACAATGATCAGGCTTTGGCGGAAAGCATTACCCAGGAGAAGAAGAGAGTGAAGGAAGCATTAGAGGAAGAACAGACAAGAGTCCAAGAGCTGGAGAACTGCTTGGCCCGCCAGAAGGAGGTATGCTCGGGGAGATAGAGTCGACTCGAGCCCCAGTTGGCTTGAGAGCCATATGGAAGTAAGTTGAGAGCCGCCGACGAGGGGGGTGAGAGCATGGTGGAGGCTTCCTGTATAATTTGCGTTTGGGTGGGCTCAGCTACTTTGGGAAGCGTGGGAAACTCAAGGAGAGAACCCTGGAGTTGTAGCCTTGACAACCAATTGGGAAAAAATTGTAAACAGTGTGAAACACCATCAGGGAGAGAGTGAGCTTGGGAGACGAGTTGGGAATGGTGACATGGGCATCTTCTGTGTTCCAAAGCACAGAAACGGGAGAATGACAGAGTCATGGGACCTCAGGGCTGCACAGACCCTCCACCAGCATAAAGCCTCCGGCCTTCAGCACCACCCCTGAGGAATGCTCTCCAGCCCAGGGCAGTCCGTCCCAGCATGGATGCCTCAGGCTGGCAGAAAGTTTTCCCTTTAGGTTGAGCTGTGTCAAACCCTTACGCCCCAGAAGAGTGTCAGTCCTCCACCCTCCCCTGTGCTCCCCGAAGACACGCCCACTTCCTCTTCCACACGATGACTCAGATGTGTGAAAACAGAGGCGCTGGCACCCTGGCACCCTGCGTCCGCTCCTCCCCAAGCCTAAGCCCCCTGGTCCCTCAGGCCCCTCACAGGACTGCAGCCTGGCGCTGGCCCCCTCTTATGGCCTGTGCTGCTCTCCAGAAGTCACAGACTGGTAGCTTGTGACTAAAAAGGACCTGTGGGTGGTATGTTTGGCCCTGGAATGTTTTATTTTGAACTCATAAAATCTATTTAAAAATTCAGATTTCACCCGGGCACAGTGGCTCACTCTCTGTAATCCCAGCACTTTGGGAGGCCAAGGCGGGCAGATCACCTGAGGTCAGGAGTTCAAGACCAGCCTGACCAACATGGCAAAACCCTGCCTCTAAAAATACAAAGATTAGACAGGCGTGGTAGTGTACACCTGTAATCCCAGCTACTCTAGAGGCTGAGGCAGGAGAATCGCTTGAACCTGGGAGGTGGAGGTTGCAGTGAGCCGAGATCACGCCACTGCACTCCAGCCTAGGAGATAGAGTGAGACCCCATCTGAAAAAAAAAAAAAGTTCAGATTGCCATCCTCTTCTGAAAAGTCAGAAAATCTAGCCCTTTTTTCTACCTAGCAAAAATGGACAAGAAGCCTTACCAGGTAGCAGCAGTTTGCCACAGTCCTCACCACTCCCTATTGCATTAAACACAGCCCACGTCACTGTTTCTATCTGTATGGGCTTCATAGGCATTTGAGTTTGCCACCCATCACCCACTTTCTTCCTAAAGGGAGGCAGCCAGAACCACCATTCTCCAGCCATGGTAGCCTAGGGTAGAACTCTTCCCCTCCCTCACTGAAGATGTTCTACTTCTGTTAATACATCTAAACTGACTTTTGGGAAAGCCCTGATACATTTGTAGATTCATGTTTAGCTTGTGGTCACCCTCAGATCCCTGATCCTTTTTCACGTGTGCTTTCATGAATTCCTCAATCCTGACACAGCGCAGAGGAATGCGGGCTTTGCAGCCAGATGAGACGTGAGTTCGAATCCACGCCGGTCTAAACTTCCTGATTGCGGCTGATCTGCCGCTACCTCCCTTCTCGAAGGGCTGGCTGTGGCCTCAGATTTGGCCTCCAGAATTATTGCTGAGTAAATGGCAGCTGCTCCTACTGTCTCTCCTGCCACCTGTGCCCCTTCTTCTGTTTGGGCATTTGTTTTCCAGCAGCCCTCACTCCTCAAGTATATTCCTTGCCCACCCACCACTGCAGGAGAAACAAAAAGACCTCTGGGCAAAGCCTGTGCCATCTGACCCGACCCACGACAGGAAAAGGTTCTCCCTTGGAGTCTGACACAGCTGTGCCCTGCAGCCCTCTTGCAGAGCATCACTGAGGTTTGCTCCCAAGTTATTTCTCCAGGGATGGGGATGAGGAGGAGGGTCTCCAAGGAGTCACTTGAGTCAAATGCCTCAAGGGGCCAACAGCAAAGGCCTGGGGAAGATCCTTGAATTTAGAGACTTTGAGGTCATGGGGCTCAGGAGACAAATGTAAGCGTCCTTGCAGAGGGGATCTGTGGTTGGGTCACCCCTGACCTGTTAAAATGTCAGCCTACTTCTGGCAGAACCTCTCTGTGGCTTCCTATTGGGGGAACTTGAGAGAACAGCCCCAGCTACAGGCTCCATTCAACTGCCATTGGTGATTTGATTTTCTTTTTTTCTGTCACCCAGGCTGGAGTACAGTGGCACGATCTCAGCTCACTACAACCTCTGCCTCCCAGGTTCAAGTGATTCTCGTGCCTCAGCCTCCCGAGTAGCTGGGACTACAGGCACACATCACCGTGCCTGGCTAATTTTTTGTATTTCTAGTAGAGACAGGGTTTCACCATGTTGGACAGGCTGGTCTTGAACTCCTGACCTCAAGCGATCTGCCTGCCTCAGCCTCCCAAAGTGCTGGGATTACAGGCGTGAGCCACCGCACCCGGCCTGATTTTGTTTTCATTGCATCTTCCACCACATTATCAGGGTTTTTAAGGACGACAGAATCACTAGGTCATAATCTGGGTCTTGAGGTCGTGTTCAAAGTTAATTCTCATTACCTGTTGTGAACTTGGGAGCACAGCAACTGAGCAGGTAGGGCCTGAGTGAGCCAGGCAAGGCCTCTCTTCCAGGTAGCACCTGTCCCGTCTGCAGAGAAAGGGCTGGCGAGTATAGACGCAGAGTCAGACACAGCAGAGCCAACTCTAATTCCCCAGGAAGTGCCTCAAAGTCTCTTTCAGAATTCACAGGAAAATGTCCTACCCTGAAACCCACTTTAAAGGATCCAAATAAACGTGAAATTCTTCGGATGCCACTTTTCTTCTGCTTTGTTTAAGGCTAGTGTTGGGACAGCAGAGTGCTAGCGTTTTGTCAACTATTTTTCACTGCAAAGTGTGTAATATCTCAGCCATACCCTGGATTAAAGACTGCTTGCAGGCTCTTCTGGGGCCCTAACCCCTGGTTATCATGGAAATCACGCTCCGAGCTCTAAGCGCCTGACAGTCAGCCTGGTGTTTGAAAGGCAAACCGTTGGAAAATCGAGGTGGCCTTTCTTGTGACCGGAAGCAGGCTGGCAATGTATTTCCTTTGGTGATTCACATTAAGCTGTTTAGTTGAATAGCTTAGCAGCAAGTAACTTCCTGGACAAACTTCTTGATTAGGGCCACCAAATACTGGCCACACTTTCTTCCCCACACCCTACCAGAACATCGCTTATCCCTTCTAGAAACTGGCATATTGTGGCTCATTAATTGGGCATACTGCCCTTCTCTTGAAACTGAATTCTGTTGAAGAGATTCATTTCTGGTTCAAGCGATTCTCCTGCCTCAGCCTCCCGAGTAGCTGGGACTACAGGTGCGCACCACCACACCCAGCTAATTTTTGTATTTTTTGTAGAGACGGGCTTTCACCATGTTGGCCAGGCTGGTCTCAATCTCTTGATCTCATGATCCGCCCACCTGAGCCTCCGAAAGTGCTAGGATTACAGGCATGAGCCACCGCGCATAGCCAAAAATTCCATTATTAACGAGACTCTTCTTTTGATCAGAAAGGCTATTTGGCCCCGTGATAGGAAGCCGCCCCACTGCTCCCCCGTTCCCTGTCGAGAGCTCCGTATTCCAGCTCCGTGCTTTCCTCTGTGCAGGCTTCAGATCTGGCCACACGGCTGACAAAGGGTGTGGCTTTGAGCCCTCTCTGCCTTTCTGTTCCTCAGTTTCCTCATGTGGAAAATGGGCCACTCTCAGCACTTCTCCGACAGAGCTGCTGTGACACTGAAGGGCTGGCCGGGGGCCTGGGCGTATCTAATAGCCGCCCGGACACTCTGGCTGTTATTGTTACTGTTATTATCTTATTAGTAGCAATTTCCCCCCTGAAATGTGCAGGCCACCAAGAGGACTTGTCCTTGACTTCCAGGTTTTGGAGAGCAGCATGGCCCATGAAAAAAGGAGAGCAAAGGAAGCCTTGGAATCGGAAAAGAGAAAAGTTCAGGATCTGGAGAACCACTTAACCCAACAGAAGGAGGTATGATCAGCAGCAGAAAAGAACCTTCTGGAAGAAGCAGCAGCAAAGCCAGATGCCCTGGAGGAGTACAGTGGGAAATGGGGCAGACCTCCCTTTGAAGTGGCCAAGATCTGCCAGTGACTGGCCGTGTGACCTCGGGCAGATCGCCATATTCCCACCCCTGTTTCCTCATCTGTAAAATGGGAATGCTAACAGTCCCTGGCTCAGCAGGTTAAATGCTATCAGGTATAAAGTACATAGGACCACACCCTGCAGCCTAGAGGGCCCTCGGGAAGCGTTTTCTGCTCTTTGGCTCAGCCACCTAGGAAAGAGGGACCCTCCCCAGGAGAGAACCCTGGGTTTCAGCTGGGGTCAGTGACTTAGCCAACGTCGTCCTCACAGTAGAAAGGCATGTGTGCCACACCCGGCATGGCCACAGGAGAAAGCACTGCTCCTGGCCCGGCCTCCTGGTGTCCTGGACTCTGAGGCAGGCCCTCCCAGGACTGGCTGAGGAGTAAAACACACAAAGAACGCAAAAAGAGATGGTGCAGGTAGGTGCATGGTAAACGCACATGGTTGTCACATCAAGCCCCAGGGATCAGTGCCTTCTGGAGTGGACAAGAAGATGGGCACCCCAGGACAGAAAGATGCTGGGGAGGCCAGGAGGGGTCAGAGCTGGAGACATCCACATCCACCCAACCCAACGTCACCAGCCTGAGGACCTGGCCCACCCAGACACACCTGCCCAGAGCAGCATGAAAAGCAGGCCCTCAGGTCAGCCTGGGTGCCTGGGTCACAGCCTGGAAGTAAGAGCCGGGGGTGGGAGGGGTGGTCAGGAGGAGATCACTCAGGGACCTACAATGGCATCTCCATGAGCTGGGCTTCGGGAACAGAGGTGGCACAGACACACACATGCCAGCCCCCACAGAACTTCTAGAAACAGAACTGATGGCTCTGATGGTTCAATTCGGTTTCATTCATCTGCCCATAAATATTCATTTATCCACCCACCAATTTCAGTTTCATTCATCCACCATGTGCCAGGCTCGGTTCTGGGTGCCGTGGACACCATAGTGAGCAAGACAGACCAGAGCCAGGCTGCTCAGATCTTCCATCCTAGTGCTGGGGAGACAGACGTCCCGTAGAAGCAGGGGCCGCACCAGGGCCACAAAACCAAAGCTGAGGAGCAGGCTGGAGAGTGCCCGAGGGCAGGACCACTCAGGAAGTGACATTCCAGTGAGAACTGGAAGGAAAAAGGAGCCTGGGTGCAGAGAAGACCACTGATTAAAGTGACACAGGTGTGAAGGTCAGGACTGAGCTTGCCAGGAGGTAGACAGGGGAGACTGGGTGAGGAATGAAACCAAAGCTGGCCCAAGATGGGAGGCACCAGGACACAGGGGAGGGAAACAGGTGGGAGAGGCAGGGAAGGAGCCGCAAACTGTGGGGAGTTAAAGGGTCCATTCTGGACTCAATTCTCAGCTCTGCCCTAACAGACTGTGTGACCCTGGGCAAGCCCCTTGCCCTCTCTGTGCCCTCATGTGTCATGTGGGTCTGGTGGCAGAACTGCCCTACAGGTGTAATATGAGGAGTCAGTGCATCTGTGGCTTGGGATGCATCCTCGCTGGTGAGGTCAGAGTCCAGGTGGGATGGGCGGTTGAGTGGGTACAGCAGGGGGGGGCTGCGCAGCCTTAAGCAAAGCCCTTGGCAGTGGGACGATGCCAAGCCCATGAAGGAAGTAAGGTCAGAGTCCAGGTAGGCAGAGGGAGCACAGACACGGGAACAGCCTCACTAAGGGGTGGGACCCAAACTGTGGTCACCGCTGCCCCCAGAGCCTCCCTTATACATATGGGCCAGGGATGGGGTCCTGAAGCTCAGGCTACAGCCAGGCAGTGGCTCACACCTGAAATCCCAGCACTTTGGGAGGCCGAGGCAGGTGGGTCACCTGAAGTCAGCAGTTCAAGGCCAGCCTGGCCAACATGATGAAACCCTGTCTCTACTAAAAATACAAACATTAGCCAGATGTGGTGGTACAACTGTAATTCCAGCTACGTGGGTGGCTGAGGTGGGAGAATTGCTTGAACCTGGGAGGCAGAGGCTGCAGTGAGCCAAGATCTCACCACTGCACTCCAGCCTGGGCAACAGAGCGAGATCCCATCTCAAAAAAAAAAAAAAAAAAAAGGTTGCCATAATCCCATTTCCCCCCAAATAAACATCATTTACATTTCAGTACATACCCCTCTGGTCTTCTGTTGTACATATATACATATATTTAAAATGCTTTTCTTGTGAACTTTATGTTGGTAGGGAGGGAGTATAATTGCAAGAGTTTCAACAGCTAGCTGCAGATAGCGTTTTTCGAGCCCACCCTAACTATTTACCTCCCAGGGCTTGTACAGGAGAGTCTGGCTTCCAACACTCTCCCCATCACCAAGTCTGTGGGATTTGTGTTCTCAACTCTAACTGACCTAGACAGGAATTTTGGAAACCCACGCCTTCGTAGACTGGAAGTGGCTGCCTGGGTCCTCCTTTGGCATGGGTCTGCAGGGACAGAAGGCACGTCCCAGCATTATCTCTCCTGCCGCACCTCCCAAAGAGCCAGGTACTTCCAACAAAGGCCAGCATTGGTGCCAGCACATCCCGGTTTATTCAGTGACTCAACGCCAAACAGCAGGACCCAACCTCTCACCAGCATGTCACTTCCTGAACACCAGCCCTGAGATCTTGAAAGATGACTCACTCCTTTACGCACATGACTAAGATATGGCTCTGAGGTTCTCACAGGGCAGGTGTGCCACAGTTTTCACCTCTGTCCCCAGTGGGCACTTGAGATCTTTCTCCCAAACCCTGACTTGGTGGCTTCAATGGTGACTCAACCTGGTTTCCCTTTGCGGTGTCATCTCCCTTTGAGGGCACAGGCCCTCAAACGACTTCCTTTGACTTCCAGATCTCAGAGAGCAGCCTTGCCTACGAGAAACACAAAGCAAAGGAGGCCATAGAGAAGGAAAAGAAAAAGGTGCAAGACCTGGAGAATCGCTTAACCAAGCAGAAAGAGGTATGAGTCGCAGGGAGGGAGAGATGAGAGGGCCCAGCATGGTGCAAGGCAGTGCTCTGGAGCCAGGCTCTGGGTTCAAATCCTACCTCTCCCCATCCGTGGCTGTGGCACTTTAGGCAAGTACTCTACCGTCTCTCTGCCTTAGTTTTCCCACTTATGAAATGCAGATGATACCCACAGATCAATCTCCTTGAGTTGTTGTGAGACATGACTGCAGTTATACACGCAGAACACATGGAGAGGCACCCAGCACCCAGCGCTCCACGGGGACGTGTCAGCCGCCCATGTTAGCATAACGAGCTCATGGCTGTGGAGGGGCAGGATCCGAAGCCAGGACTGTCTGACTCCCGAACCCTAAATCATCACCTCTCCCTCTCTACTGCACTTCAGCTTTGTGTGGGCTCAGCTGCCTGGCATAAGAAGGGAGATGTTGGCCGGGCACCCAGCACTTTGGGAAACCAAGGCAGGTGGATCACTTGAGGTCAAGAGTTCAAGACCAGCCTGGCCAACATGGTGAAACCCCGTCTCTACTAAAATTACAAAAATTAACTGGGCTTGGTGGCAGGTGCCTGTAATCTCAGCTACCATATTACCAGCTTGGCCAATATGGTAAAACCTCGTCTCTACTAAAAATACCAAAAAAAAAAAAAAAAAATTAGCTGGGCGTAGTGGCAGGCACCTGTAATCCCAGCTACTAGGGAGGCTAGGAGAATCGCTTGAACCTGAGAGGTGGAGATTGCAGTGAGCCAAAATTGTGCCATTACACTCCAGCCTGGACAACAGAGCAAGACTCCATCTCAAAAAAAAAGAGAGGAGATGCTAGGGTACAGACACCTGGGTTTCTGATCACTTTGATGTCAGTTTTCCCAGCAGAACTTGTCATCATAATTATCATCACCTTCCTAATCCAAATGCATTTACTGTTTTTGTTTTTGTTTTTGTTTTTGTTTTTGTTTGGAGACAGAATCTCACTCTGTCTCCAGGCCTGGAGTACAGTGGCGTGATCTCAGCTCACTCCTACCTCCACTTCCCGGGTTCAAGCAATTCTCCTGCCTCAGCCTCCCTAGTAGCTGGGATTACAGGTGCCTCCCACTACGCCCAGCTAATTTTTTTTTTTTTAGTAGAGACGAGGTTTTACCATATTGGCCAAGCTGGTCTCAAATTCCTGACCTCGTGATTCACCCACCCCAGCCTCTCAAAGTGCTGGGATTACAGGCGTGAGCCACCACGTCTGGCTACCTTTACTGTTATCACTGAGAATTGTAAATGCAGTAGGAATAGAAGTGGATTGTGCACGTGACCCTGTCTTACCCTGCAGGTACCTCATAAGCAGTAGGGCATAATTGGCTTCTGCTGGGTCCCAATAGTACAAGGCGTGCGCGCGCGCGCACACACACACACACACACACACAATGACCAATTTGTCAAAGTCAAAGCAGGTGACAAACATGCATCCTGGCAATAATGGGTTAAATTTAAATATAGGTGACTATGACTTCAAAGGATTTTCGGGACCAGCTAGGACTAAAAAGGTCTCTATTCACATCAAACTGGGATCATTTTCTTCAAAGAAAGGTTTGCAAACATTAGCATGCATTCAAATCTTGGGGGAATTTATTTTAAATGCCTGTTTCTTGGACCCCACCCCAAGAAATTCTGATCCCCTGTGAAGGACAGACTCAGGAATCTGCATGTTTCATAAGCAGTCCATGGTGCTGATGCACTTTAAACAACACTGCTCTAGGGAGGATAGTCAGGAGGGCCTGTCAGCCCTGGACACCACTCTTTAAGAGGGTCGTTCAGTAACTGGCCATGTGTCCAGAGAAGGTAGATGAGAGTTGGGTGAAGTGATGCGGGACTTCTCAGCCCAGGGCCATCAGGATCACAGAGGACCCCTGCGGGGAGGCACGTGCTGCAGGCTGTGGGAGAGCCTGAGAGAGGCAGTCGCTTCCCAAGCAGCCATGTCCTCCACATGATGGACCATGGATCGCCCATGAAACACACTACGGGTAGGCGAAAAGGAGAGGTTAAAGCATTAAAGGTAGGTAACCTGGGACATAAAATGGATCGGGAATGAGACTAATGCAAAAAAAAAAAGTGTATCATGGAATCAATGAATGAGTCACAGTTTTTACTCTAGCAGTTACAGTGCAAGGGAAAACCCAGCTGGTTGCACAGTTTACCAGACAAAAATGGACCAACCACTCATGGAAATACGACCATTCTTGGAACCAGACCAGCGAGAATCTCTCCTAAGCGTCATTATATAGAGGATTCTGCAACAAGCAGCCTTCTCAGCAATATCCTTAGAACAGTGACACCAGAAGGTGGCGTCTCGGCTGGGCACAGTGGCTCATGCCTGTAATCCCTGCATTTTGGGAGGCCAAGGCCGGTGGATCACCTGAGGTCAGGAGTTCAAGACCAGCCTGGTCTCCTTTGTTCTCCTGTCCTTGAACAAGCTGCTGAGTAGCCGGCAGGGAGCAAAGATGCCAGGCTGTGTGACTGCCCATAGCAGGGCTGCGTCACAGCTCTTCAAAGAAACAAGTGCAGTTTGTTGTGGATTCTCTGGGACACCTGGGGCGCGTCACTGAGCTGCGTGTGGCAAGCTGTTCTCTGGGATGCCTGCCTGTGTCCCCAGGGAGCACCTCCTCGGCCAGGTCTGTATGTGCTCTGCTGTGGGATTTCCTAACGGTAACAGTGAGGTTAAGACCCTGAACAAGAACCAGACAGGGTTAAGCAGAGGTACACGGAGGATGCAGCAACTCCCAGGCGAGGCTCGTGGGAATAACATGATAAAACGGCACAGGTATTTTATTTTTTGAAAAACAATGTTTTCTTTCCTGATCACAAAAAAAAACCACACCTG